GGGAGGTCTAACCGTTAAAGGGGATTCCGTTCCAAAAATTAGAAAGATTCACGCTCAATGCATGGGCAAGCGGCTGTCCCTTATTTGGAGGACAATGGACATGCATACATCAATGGATTCTAACGTACGGGATGAGGTAAAGGGCAAGAGCCTTTTTCTTGGTAGTTTCTCCTCCCCTGGCTTTGCCAAAGAAAAGACTTCTAGATCTTTAATTAAATGCATGTGTGCTGCAAAAATAATGCGTTCATTTGGTTCAAAAGGCAGAAAAAGGGAATACAAAAGGGGGCAAAATACATTATAATTGCCTTTTTGATTCAGTTCCACTCAATAATTTAATTTTTTGTGTCTAACTAAAGATTACTATCTTTTTGGGTAATTTTAAAGGCACCTTATATATTGATTTGGTGTATTTAACAAAATTAATTTCCTTGGGTACATGGTTGGCTCCAAAGCTGATCTTAACCAACAAATGTAACTGTGTAAGAAGCTATTTCAGATGATTTAAAGAACAGCAATTTAGAGGGTAAATTATAAAGCTTAATTTCAGATCAGCGAGAAAAAGATACAACAATTTAATCTGCCTTTACAATGCATAGTAACTCCAGACTACACATGCTATGCCCATACAAAACAGCTCTATGCTGCTGCATCTGTTGTCACTTGTTCAAGCTATTCATCGAAGTGTTACCACCATTTTGTCTGGCAAAATGTTTAATTTAAACAAATGATTCCCTTCTGGTAAGCAGAACTTAAAACTTGAATTTTAAGCAGCAAATACTCTTCAAAATTAAAATTCTGCTTCCATGTATGCAAGTTGGATTACATTGTTCTTATCTGCTCCTGGTAGAGAAACAAGCATTAAAACAGCATTAGAAATACCAGGAACTTACCACAGCATCTACAATTCATAACTGTATATATATTATTAAACCAAAAATGGTCATGAATAAATGCATCCTAAACATACAGATTTTATACCCTTAATGAAGCTCTACTCATGCCTTATAAACTTATAATTCCTTGACTTCACACAAACTGGTATCATCTTACATTATTTTTAAACAAACAAGGGAAAAGGAGAAAAGGCCTGAAAGTGAAGGTAATGTAAATTTAGAGCCTCCTCCACAATGGATCAAGATCATAGAATACTTTTACCTACTGAGAATTTGAGGGGAAAAGTGAAACGAAATCTCATTTGCTAAAACTAAAAGGAATTTGGCGTGGTAGAGCTACTAACCCATTGTAGAGCTACTAACCCATTTTTTAGTTTCAACTGAGTCTGGTGAAACTGGAGGGGGAACATGTCTCAAAAGGCCAACATCATCTGCTCCAATATCCACCACCTCTGCAAACTGAGCTCCCAAATCTCTATTCTGCATTCCCTTCAAAACCCCCAAAACTTCTTCCATGGAAGGCCTCATATCCCTCTCTTGCTGCAAACACTGAAAAGCCAGTTCTGCAACGGTTGCAACCATTTTCCTGACAGCACAATCAGTTTCAAAGGCAAGAGATGGATCAACCAATTCATGTAATGCCTGATTCTGAATTCTGCTGATGGCCATGTTAGCCAAGTTAATATCAAAGTGGTGCCTATTTGTGTCTACTGCTTGCTTTGCAGAAATGAGCTCAATCAACACCACCCCAAAACTGTATACATCATTTTTGTCTGTAAGATGGTAGCACTGATAATACTCAGGATCAACATAGCCAGGGGTCCCTTGCGGAGCAGTGGACACATGAGTAACATCATTGGGGAAAAGTCGAGACAGACCAAAATCAGCCACTTTCACATGGAAACTGTTGTCTAGAAGAATGTTGTTGGTTTTGACATCACGGTGTATGATTTCTTTACCATGAAGGTAAGCTAAAGCATTAGCAGTCTCTATGGCAATGCGCAACCGAACAGGCCAAGTAAGCAAGCCAGACTTTGCCCTTCTTCCGTGAAGATGATCAGCCAGAGTTCCATTAGGAATGTATTCATACACAAGGAGAAGTTCTCTGCTGTGCCTTGAGGTGCATCCATATAGCGTCACAAGATTTGGATGTCGTATGTCAGCTAGGATCTTAATTTCATTTATGAACTGTTCAACACGTTTGAGATTTTTCTCAAACAGGCGCTTTACTGCCACAACACGCCCATCACTGAGCACACCTGATCAAAGAATTGAAGGAACCAAGAAAAGACAAGGAAAACAAAAAGTATTAACCAATGCCTAACATAGGAAACTGATACAGAGAAGGCAAGAAAAACATTTATCCTCTCACCATGGTAAACAGTGCCAAAACCCCCCTCTCCAAGTTCTTTAGAACTTTCAAAATTATCAGTTGCTTTTTCAAGCTCAGTCTAGCTGAAGACCTGAACTCCAAACTAGATGCTTCCTTTTTCTATGTCAGACATTGCTGAGGGATAAGAAGGGATGCTTTCAGAATGAGTAGTGGAGGGAGTAGTAGGGCCCAGGCCTTTGCCTGATAGAGAAGTTGCAGGCAAGTCTTTGCTTTGAGATTGAGCAGCAATTCTCCTTCTCCTCTGATACCATAATAACCACCAACCTCCCAGAACAATACCAGCAATTATTCCACCAGCAATAAAGAGGCCTAAAGATCAAAAACAGAAAAGAATGTTCAAATTATAACTCACCTTTGGTAAAATGTTAATACTAGAAAAATATAATATATTAAGGATAATTACCTATATTAAGTGCTGTCATTATCTTGCCTGCAACAATCACGAGATTAAAAAATTCAGTTAAAATATCTATGACAGAATTGTAACAATTGAACATCAAGATAGACCAAGCTATAAACCTCAAGTTCAGGTGAACTTAACTATGGTTCTGGAAGCAAAATGCAGAAATAATGCAGAAAGTAGAAATCTGTTAAAGTGTTAAAATGTTAATTTATTATAATTAAATTAATTTATTAATTTTAATTAATATTTTATATAATTTAATAATATTATTAACATATAACACACTTTTAAAATAATTATAAAAAATAATACAATTTTTGTTATAGAAAAATACTCGTCACAGCCATAACACTTGATATTAACGACAAAAAGATAAATTAAATTATACACATTGAAAGACGAATTGAGCATCAAGGCCCTATCTTCACTAAACAAAACCAAAAAACTTCAGTGATCAGGTTGGAGGTTAGGCGTTAAATAGACACATTGAAAGATAAAATAAGCATCTAATTTCCGTTTTATGGCTTGATCATCCAGATCAACAAAACAGATAAATCATATCTCTACAATAATCCTTTTGAAAAAGGATGTATAAGATCAATTCGAGCATTGTATCTCACGGCAACAAATCCTTTTAATTTATGATTGGAGATCACTCATTAACAAATAGTGAAGTTGATCTTAAAACAAATTGGTGTTGATAAGTAAGGTGGGGCGGAGGTTGTCTAGATAATTGGCTCTGGCCATGGTGAGAACACGGGATTCGTTGTTGATTCCAAGGACTTGGCATGTCGCTGGCAAGATTGTGATCTCTAGAGTTGAGTCACCGTAGTTCAGCTGGAATCCCACGAAGCTGCAGCATCGCCGGCCTGTCTGAACCCCAAAAGGGATAGCCAATTTTCTCAATCCAAACGGTTTTCCAAAGAGTAACTGACTTACGGAGCCATATACATTGTACATTATTGTGAAAATTAGTTAGACTAAGCAAATAACTTTGGTTGGAATTATATCATCATTATCAGGGGCGGAACCAGGAATTTGTTTAAGTTAGGGCCTTCTTTTATGTTATAGGTATGGTTATTGATAGGAAGATAAATTGATATTAATTAAAATTACGATAACACTAATAAATTGATTAAATAAAATACTAATTATATAGCTCCTAAGTATGAAGATGACTACTATCATTTTGATCTACATAAGAGATATCATCAATTGAACTTAAATTTATCATGAATAATCTGTAATTTTTTTTTTTTTGAACATTTTGACACGGGGCGGGTTCGAAACCCGCCCAGGGGAGGGAGGAATGCACTTAGCAAGCTGGCTAATGCCAGTGAGCCTCTAGGCCCAGGTGCGAATAATCTGTAATTTAAAATAAAATTTTATTTTAAAATAAATGAAAATAAATCATAAATGAGTTGGTAACTTAAAATTTGATATTTTAATAAATAAAAAATTGAAACCAAGAAAAATAATTCAAATATAAACATTAATTAACCTTCATAACAAGCCCATCACTTAAATTTATGTCCTCAATTGTACTTTTTTTTAAAAATCTTTTATTATATTATACTTAACAATACTGTAAATTTTAGGTTAAACCTTTATTTTGGTCCCTAAACTATTATACGGTCTTTGATTTGGTTTTTAAACTAAAGAAATCCTTAATTTGGTCCTTAAACTATTGTATGGACCCTGAGTTGGTCCCTAAACTATTGTACAGACCCCAAGTTAGTCCCTAAACTATTATACGGATCCCCAATTTGATCCATACTGTTTACCAATTTAGCCCTAACTTGGTCCTTCTGTTAAATAATAGCTTGGGACCAAATTGGGGTGAAATTGTAAACAATAAGGATCAAATTGGAGGTCCGTACAATAGTTCAATGACCAACTTAAGCCAAATTATAAAAAGTGAGGACCAAATTAGGGGTCCGTACAATAGTTTAGGGATCAAATAAGAGATTTCTTTAGTTTAAAGACCAAATTTGGAGTTTATACAATAGTTTAGGGACCAAAATAGAGATTTAACCTAAATTTTTTGAGCCCATGGTAGGGCCCGTGCCTAACCCTGGGCCTATGTAGTTCCGCCACTGATCATTATCATCCTTTTCTACAAAATATGTTCAGCAGATAGATCCTATTGAAAACAACCATAATTCAATCACACTCTACATAAAGTTAAGGAACTAGTTTTGGCTCACAAGTGAAAAATTGCTGTTTTTCATTGACTGATTGGATGAACAAACCAAAGGAGTGTTATTCTTGGAGAATGGGGATGATTTCACAGTGGTCCATCGAGTGTTACATAACTTACATGCTGAAGACTGGAGGATTAAGAAAATACAGGGAAAACTATGCTGAACTTTTGAATACCATCTAAGGGGGATGTTTGACTTCTTGTAAAAAAACTTTGTTCTACTGTTAAAAAAAATGCAGCAGACACCATTTCTACGTATTTGAAGATACGTCATCATCATCAAGTTGTGAATTCGTCTCAGCAGTGCTTGGAACCACCTACAAATCATCTCAAACATATCAAATTGAAGACAATTGTACATCCAAAAAAATTTGATGCATTTATTGCACTAGATCATATAAAAAATTGAAGAGTATGGTCTAACCTGCATTATGACTGAGGATGTGGTGTTCGAGTTTTGGAGTGACATTGCTGCAGGAGAAGACAACATAGGTTCTGGTGGAAGTGGCAAAGCTTCGAGGCTTCCTTGTAACATCTCAAGCACCTTATTCATTGATGGTCTGTTTGATGGAATTGTTTGAATGCACCAAAGGCTCACTACTATCATCTTCCTAGTCATTTCTTCTTCCTCATCATCTATGATTCTGTCAAGATTTAATTTTTCTGATTTTTCAAGCTGCTTACATAGCCATGTTGGAAAATACATTTCACTGGAGTGAGACACTTCCACATTAACATTTTTTATTCTTCCCCCAATCATTTCCAGCATCATCATGCCATAACTATAGACATCAGACTTGTAAGATACTCCTCCAAAGTTTCGACAAAATACCTCTGGAGCAATATATCCACAAGTTCCTCTGGCCCCCGTCATTGAAACAACACTGTCTCTTGTTTCACATAATTTGGCAAGACCAAAATCAGATATCTTAGGACAGAAGTTGGCATCTAAGAGGATGTTTTGAGGTTTTATGTCAAAGTGTAAAATCCTTGTGGTACAACCTCGATGCAAGTATTCTAGCCCTAGAGCAATGCCTAGTGCTACGTCATACAAAGTCTTAATTGCAAGCTGATGATTCTCTGGAGATCCTTGATTATAAATGAACTTATCCAGGGATCCATTGGGCATGAATTCATAAATCAAAGCTCTTTTCGAGCTCTCATAACAGTACCCCAATAGGGTGACAATATTAACATGGGAGGTTCTGCTAATGCTAGCAACTTCATTGATGAAATCCTGTCCATCCCCTTTGGATTTACTGAGAACTTTTACTGCCACAATACGGCCATCAGGTAATTCTCCTTTATATACGCTCCCATATCCTCCTTGACCCAATTTATCTTTGAATAAGTTGGTTATTTTCTTGATGTTTGAATATGAAAATCTCTTGGGAGCAAAAGAACCATACTGGAGAATGAATGCCTCAACTCTTTTACCGTTCTTTCTAGTTAGATGGAAGTTTAGAGACTTCAAACTTGACGGTGGTTTTCTTTTAAGCTTGAAGAGGAGCACTATAAAAGTGATTGCCACAGTGGTTGTTAGAGGTACTGCCAATCCTGTTTTAGAGAGATTAAAGAAGATGAAATCAACTAATCTAGAAACCAATAAAAGATTCCAAACGAAAAATGTTTCCCAAATGAGACTAATATAATACCTATGATTGGTATAATGTTAAGTTTCTTTGTCCCTGCAACAACAACAAAAAAGAAAAGAAATGGCGTGACTAAAGCATGACAGAAACACAAACTAAAACCCAAATGCAGAAATACTGAGAAAGATGCTCAATTGCAATAAAAGGATGTCAAATATTTAAAAAGGATCAACTCTTCCTGAAAGAAATGCTGTATTTTAGAATAAACACATGCACATACACACAAAAGATCATTTGATTATTTGAAGTTGTCTAATGCTTAATCATAGTAGCTAAGAGAATTCAAAATATTAAGCATTCAAAACTCCTCCACACCATTCCTGTGAATATCCTAAGGTTTAAGTGTTACCAAAGTGACCAAACATCCCTGAATTTTCAGAGATCAATACTGGAACGTACATATAGGCATTAAGTTTAGTTAAATCTGAGATTAAAATCATTAATCCCTCTTCTTTCTCTTTAGTGAAATCAATCCTGAGAACATACTTATAGGCTTTAAAATTTTATAAGCTTCATAGTTGGATTGGGACCAACTTCCTTTGTAAAAGTTGAGCTATCGATCTGGTATTCTTTTGTCAAGTTATTATCTATTGTTCTTTTCTTTGCAGGCGAAGGTTTGCCCCTCGGGATGGTTTTTTCTTAGCCCTATCACGTGACGGTTTTGTATTATCTATCAAACCTTGTTTATTCTGAATGAATTGCTCGATATTATTACTAGGTGAACGAGAAATCACACTCCAAACTATCCTACAGCTTCCATCATGAAAGCTTATTTCCTTTCCTTTTTTGATAAAGAAAGCTCTATCATTTTTTATCTCAGTTTCACAGTTTGACAACACCTATTGTATGGCTCATAGGGCAGTCGGCAATGGGCAGTCCACTTTTATCAGTTATCTAAGAACACCTATTGACGTTTACCTATTGTTATTTTGGTTGGTTGCCATAATGTGTGATGTATCCCTCAAAATAAATGAAATTGATAGTGTTGCCCACTTAAAAGAAGTGGTACGTGAGGGTCGGCTAAGTGGATCTCTTATTGGACATTGCTACTTAACCAAATGACTTTGTCTATGAACAACAAATCTAATGCGGGCAGACCAGTCATGTTGGAATTATTATTAGAAATGTGGTAATCAAATTAAACCTGCAAAATGATGAAATGAAACTGCAATAAAATGGCAGCAAGGAGGCTGAAAATTGACAGCAAATGAAGCTGCAATTTGACGGCAACTATGGCAGTAATTTAGTTGCAAATATGATGGAAATGAAACTGTAAGATGACAGCAAAAATGTGCAGCAAGCTAAGCTGCAAATGTTGATGAAATGAAGCTGCAGTGAGCAGCAAATGAAACACAAATGCAAATGCAAATGAAATGTAGTGTTGCAAATTGGTCAGCTAAATGAGAGCAAACATGCAGCAAAAGGGCTGTCTTTTACTTCTTTTAGGTGTACTTTTATTGTTGCCTTTTAATGTAGAAAAATTGCTTAGACAAAATCAGAAACTTTTTGAATTGTTTTTAAGTTTGTTTTCCACTCTATATAGCAGAGATCATTAATGAAAAAATTTGAGTTGGAGTTTTATACTCCTCTCCATTTTCGTTTATGTTCTGTGCTTCATCTTCCTGATTTTCTCTCCATTCGTTTGTGTGAAAAAAAAAAAAAAAATCAACAAGTAAGTCCTTGTTCGATGAAACACATGGTAGAATTGACCCCATGGAGTGAATTAAAATTGCAGTTGAGGTTTGGAGGTAGTGGAATGTGTTGAGCTAGCCCTCCCAAGTTGGGTGGCTTAACAATGTAGGTGCACCATGAGTGCACGGTGAATGGCAGAAAACTTGGGAAGTTTGGTTTTGAAGATGAACAGTGGACTCCGACACGGACATTTCTTATTGTTGAAGAAATGGGAAAAGCAAAGTGGACTCCTCCAACTTTGGATGTGCTGACATGTTAGTCCTTGATAGGATAGTGTTACACTATTCTTGTATCCAAATGCTCCCTATTTAATCCCTTGTTTTAAATTTAAAAGAGTGCAGATTGTGTTAGTGTGCGAGGGAAGCTAGTGAAAAACAGAGAGGAAAGCAGAGTGCAGAAAAGAGAGTGAGGTTGAGAGTAAATCTCCCTTGTTGATGTTAGATTCGGATTGTGATCCGAAAATTGTAATCCTTTTTCAATAGTGGATTGATTTTTCATCTGGGTAAGTGCCCCGTGGTTTTTCCCATTTGGGTTTTCCACGTAAAAATTCTGGTGTCCTTTTTATTTTACTTTGTTTGCTTATTCTGTTCTTGGGTGTTTGATTGTGTTGCTGTTTGGTTTGATTCTGGGCATTGGACCATTAAAACCTCAACAGAATGAAGGTCGGAGTGCAACCATAGATTAAAATAAAATTTACATAATCCAGAGCACCAATTGTCGAAGTGTGTATTTCCCTTGTGAGTGTGAAGAATTAAGATCTCCTATCAAACAAATATAGAAGGTCCGTATGTCTCCCCAACACCAACAAAAAGAGTAGCATCAAGTTTGGTGTTCTGGATCTTCTGGGGACAGATTCCACCTTCATAGTCCTCCCTTGCAATCTTCTGTCATTTGGTTTGGTAACTTATCACCGGAACCCGATGTCGAACACTGACAATTTCTAAAATAGTAGTGTCATTGTAATCACAATGGAGTTTTAATCCTGGATGGCTACAATCAGGCTGTCCTCAGTCTTCCCCCAGAATGGAAAGTCTGCAACAACATTGGCCACTTGAACTGACTACTGCAAATTCTGCACAATTCAGGGGTTCTTGATGACAAGGTAGGCTCAGAGAAAACCAAGACTATAACTAAGAGGAGGAATTAGTTTATATTCTTGAACGGATGGGGATGAGGAAGTGGAGGGATTAATGGGTGAATTTCAAGATGTGGTTGGTCTGGACTCTGGAGAGAAAATAAGAATTGATATAGAATAGATGTGCCTTAGAAGCAAGGATGAGAAGATAATTCAAAGAAACTGCTAGACAAGAAATTCTGTGCATTTGGTTGACTTAAAAAGATTTCAACTTTTCTACTTCTTTGCATCAATTTACTCTGATAATTCCATTGGAAAAAACTCTTTATACGGTGTAGAATGTTACTACTCCCATTATTGGGTTCATCAATTTGGGTCACTCTCTTTGCTGTGCAAAAAAAAAAAAAAAAAAAAAAAAAATTTGGGTCACTCTCATCTTGAATCCAAAAGACTAGTTTATTAGATTTATGGGTCTTTACATATATAAGCCACTTACTTTTCACTCTCTACTTTTGTTATCTACTCACATGTGAACACGTAACAACCATTATATCTTGTGCAATAATACCATTCTCCTACAATAATTATTAAGCACTTATTTAGCTGTATGAAATACGTCATGACCATTCTCATTCCATAGACCGCACCGTCGGATGATGTCTATGTTATGACATACTAGATTGAAGAGAATGACACAGTTTATAACAAGGAAATTGCTCAATCAATGTGGAAAGAAAAACTGAAGCCTACCTGGAAAAGGAGGTGGACAAAGGAATGGGAAATGAGACTACTTTACGCGCTTTGCTTTCCTATCCTTGGAAGGGTAACCCTGGTTGACCACAGTAATCCGCTCTATTGACTCGCCAGAAAGGGTAGCTCACATTTTCTATGCTTCCAAATTTAAAAGTTTGGTTGCAGTTTGAGTATTATAAATCATTCGCACAAAAACAGGTTTGAAGTTTGATCATGTTAAAAAGAAGGATCAAGATAGAAGGAAAAGGGTCGGAGGAACAGGTGTATTGCATTTCTAAAGAACTAGAGAGAGATATTAGGAAGGAAACTGAACAATTAATGGATATAAATCAATTGAGCTTCTTGTTGCATTTAACAAGACTGCTACCTGAATAAACCTAAATGACTGAAAGGGAATAGTGTAGCCAACGATCGATTTGAAGTTGAGAGCTTGCAATAAGATGCCTTCTTAATAGGAAAATATAAAATCAAGGTATGAGAATTTGCTTGAATACAGTGTCTGACTACTGACTAAAATATACCGTCAGCCACCTAACACCAAAAGAATATAAATATTTCTCACAAGTGTTCATAGTATTCTCCGAGTTGATTTTGTTCTTAATCATTTGCTTTAGTTTTTAGTGCACTAAAATTAAAGCTTGTTGTGATGATATGGTAACACTTACAATAAGTGGGAAAGTAATGGTTTGGTGAGTGAGACTTTTGAATCAGAATTTGCTACCTAATCAGATCATTACTTCGTCTGCGATCAACAAATCTAATATGCAACTGATCCAGAAAAAAAAAATTTTTTTCTAATATACAAAAGAAAAAAAAATTCAGGGCAAAAACCACTAAGACTCTTTTATTGTCTTATTCTATTCTATACTATAACTATACCTAGACATATGGAACTTACCATGCTCATCGGCGTTTGATGGTGGTCCAGCTGGTAGGAAAGGGGGAGGAGGCTGGGGAAGACATTCGTGTTTTGAACTACTTTGTTCCTGATAGTGGCAAACCGAACGGGTGAAGAGATTAACAAACAACAATGGTGGGCCGACTTTCTAGAAGGGATATTATTGTAACATCTGAGTCTCTGTTGACTACAAATAGGGGTGGGCAAAACCGGTTTTTGATTAAAACCAAAACTGGTTTTAAAATAACTGAAACTTTTTTAATTTTGAGAATCAAAATCGAATCAAAATTATCAAAATTGATCGGTTTGGTTATCAATAAATTGGTTTAAAATTGGTTCAGTTTTGGTTTTTGATAAATAAATAATAATCAATTATTTTTCTAATAATATATTATATTTTATCACATATTTTATCATATTTTGTCATATTTATCTTAATTTTGATTTTCAGATGGTTTATTTTTAGTTTTTGGTTTTTGAGAGACTCACCGAAACCGAACCAAAATATATTCGATTAATACTAAAACAAAAAAAATAAAAACTGAAAACCATTGAAACCAAACCAAATTTATTTTTTTGGTTCGATTTTCTGATAAACCATCAGTCCAGTTTAAAATGCCCAGCCCTAACTACAAATATAAACCGCTTCAAAAAGATGGGGTACTACTGAGTTCCTTTCCCTTGTGGGCCGGTTTTCTTTTGATGAAAAATTTCCAAGGACAAGAGTCCATGATTTTTAACAACAAAGCATGTAAGGAGTTGAATTTGTCAAATAAAATGACAAAATCAGGCAATTTCATTAACCCAACAAATAAAGAATACACAAGGCTCACGAGATTGATGTAAATTAAAACGTTGTTTTTTACATTTTAAATATAATATTTTTTAACCAAATGTAAGAGTAAATGAAATAATATTCATCTTCCTATTTATTTAACATGTAAAAACAATAAATAAAAGCATCTATGTATATTTTGTAAAGCACATAGAGGTGAGTTTAAGATTGTCTATAGTATTTTGGGTGTACAAAAATTACGTTAATTTGACTATTATTTTGAAAAAATATTATATAATAAAATATTAATAAAAATTTATTTAATTATAACAAAATTAATATTTTTATTAGTGCATATTTTGTAGGAAATTAAAAATTCTTTAAATTTCGATGTCCTCATTGGCCTTAAAAAAGGTCCAACGTCCTCAAATTTCCTAACGTAACAAACAAAAACCTAAGAATTCAATCTCGAGTTTTTTGTTTTTGTTTTAATTTTAAGTTTGAAATATGGAGTTTTAACAAATAAGCACATTATGGGGCCGATCACTAAAAAGGGAGAAGTAATAAACTGACCTGTTGGAGGAGGACAAACGGTAACAAGAAAACTAATCGGAAACCGTATATTATCCACACTTCCCGCCGGAGCCTCTGCACCAATCACACAAGCTATTATTTGCATTCCACTGCAGCCCAAACCCTTTTGCAAGAGCTTCAACCAGATTTTCCCCGCTTGGATTCGGACTTGCCTCCACGGACTGGATTTCGGATCGGTTTGCTGCCAGAACAACCCTGTCACCGCAAGTACTAGCCGCAATCAATCCCACGCCGGTTTATTCGTTGCGATTACTGTAGAGGTAAACGCCGGAGAAGTTGGTTGAGTTTACATTGCAAGTAAAATTAATGATGGACCCAATGTCCTGATTTGGTATTTGAGGGCAATGATAATAGAGGTTTATATCCTGAGTATCGGGAGTAAATTCAAAGAGGTCAGGATTCAGTGTGGTGTTGATTAGGGAGGTGGGGCAGGGGTTGTCTAGATAATCGGCTATGGCCAAGGTGAGAAGCCGGGACTCGTTGTTAATTCCAAGGACGTGGTACGTTGCTGACATGATTGTGATCTCCGGATTTGAGTCACCGCAGTTCAGCTGGAACCCTGGAAAGCCACAGTAGTCCGGCCTGCCTAAACCCCAGAAAGGATAGCCAATATTCTCAATGTTTCCACAGGCGAAAGTTCTGTTGCAGTTCACATAACCTTCATCCACAGAGGATGCAAATTAAGGAGCATGGATCAAAGCGAAAGTGATGATGATGATGAAGAAGAAAGACCCAGGGAGGTGAAGGGGATTCATTTTGTCCGATCAAACAGGAGAATGAAAAAAAGAAGAAGATGGGGATGGAGTGGTTTTAACTATTAATCATGATGATGCAAAAATGGTGGTGTTTGAATAAGTGAAA